ATATATATATATATAGAGACGATATAATATATAGGTATATAGATAGGGATAGAGAAAGGCAGGCTATAGCTTATATAGGACTAATAGTTTAGGGTGCGGCTTACGGCCTAGGGCATTATATATTAAGACTATATATATTATATAGCTTATATAACTATATAAGTTTAAAGCCTAGCGTTTATACTATACTTAATATTACGTAACTCGACCTTTAAAATACCTTTAAAACTGCGCTTTATAATATAGAATAATAATAAAGAATAATTAAAACGAGGCACTTTCGTTCTATATAGGAGCGGGTAGCTTACTTTTACTACTATTATTACCGTTATAGTAGTTATTACGCTCTCGTTATAAAGTTAAGTAACGGTAATAATAATAGCAATAATAATAGTAATGGCAATACTATATATAACTATATATATAGCTATAAGTATAACCGCAAGTATAACTATAAGTATAACTATAGCTATAGCTATTACCGTAGCCTTAATGGCTTCGTCTTTTCTTATAGCTATTACTATAATTCTTACCCCCCTAACTATATATACTAACTATACTGCGTTTTTACCTCCCGTTATTACTATTAGTACTTTCTCGAGATAGAGCTTTAAGTTAAGGGCTCTAGTTAAGGAATATATAATATCAGCCGCTATAGAGTTAAGACGAGCTTCCTTTACTACTCGTAGAGCTCTATACTAAGCCGCCCTAAAATTAGGATATCGATATAGACTTTTGATACTATAGCCTTAGGCTATTACCGCTACCGTTAGGGCTACCGCCAAAAGGGCCGCTACCGTTACTACTAACGCCTCTATCGCTAGAATAACCCTAAGGATTATATAAGCGCGTTTAGGGCTACTTAGACTAATAGAAGATCTTTAAGTAATAAGTAATAAAATCCTTATAGGTCTTATATATAGTAGTATAATGCTAAGGGGTTATAGGCATATATTTATAACTCTATATTACCTATCGTTAATATAATACATTAAGCTTTTCTCTTTTCCTTAATAACTTAAGGGGCTAATAACGTTTATATATAATATCGTAGTAAGAAATAGATATTATTAAAGCTAGTAATAAAGAGATAAAGAGTAAGTAATAAGTAAGTAAGTAATAAGTAGTAAGTAAGTATATAAATAAGTAATAACTATACTTAATAAGTATTATAAGCTATATAAGTCTTTTATTAATCGTAAACGATATTAATATCGTTAGTAGTACTAGCGCTATATAAGCTAGCGTATTAATTAAAGACTTTATCTTTAACTTAACGAGTCTTCCCGAGATACCTCTAGATACGCCTCTATTTATTAATTTAATTAATATCCTTAATATGCCCTTTAATGCCTTAGCTTCCTTACTTAAGTTATCTAAGCTTATTGCCTATTAAATTACTATTAATATTATCCCTAGATCCGATACTATTAACGATATCCCTTAATCTATCGCTATTAACGGTTCTATTATCCCTAAAACTATCTTCGATAGTTTCCTTAAATCTAATATAGCCCCTATATCTAACGTTACCCCTATATCTAACGTTACTACTATATCTAACGTTACCGCTATATATAATATTACTGCTATAATTAATATTGCCCCTATATCTAATGCTACTATCCGATATAACGCTTTAACTAAATACGGTATTATATACGTTATATATAAAGCGGACGATAAAGCTTCTAATAATAGAGACTCTATTACTCTTAATAAGTCTAGCGGTAAAGACTCTACCGATAGAGACTCTTCTAGCCCTATTAAATTTACTGACGAAGCCTCTATTAATAAGGCTAGTAAAGACTCTACCGATAGAGACTTTATTAATAGAGACTTTACTAATAGAGACTCTACCGATAGAGATTTTACTAATAGAGACTTTACTGACGGAGACTCTACCGATAGAGACTCTACCGGTTATATCGTTACTGCGATTTCCGACTATACGATAAGAAATATACCTATCCCGCTTACGCTATTGCCTCTATTTAATATATACGCTAAAATACTTAACTCTTTATAAGGCTTTTATTATAATAATAGTACTACTATTATTATTAAGTCGAGCTAAGGCTCTTATACCTTTCTTTATAGTACTATAATAGCTATATAGATCCGCTTTATCTATAACCGCAATAAGGAATATATCTCTATAAGTATTAAAGTTTAGTAGCTAGTATTATAATATATTAACTACCCCTATATTATTATTTATAAAGCTAGTAAAATAATAGGCTAGAAATAGTATTATTCTATTAATTACGGCTAATATAACTATAGTCCCTCCCTTAATCCCTTAATATATAACGTCTATCGCTAACGAACCGAGAAATAAAAGCTTATAGAACGAGACCTTATAAGAGTACTTATAATTATAGCTTAGGCTATAAAGTTATATATTTATAACTATTCGAGGCACTTTAAGTTATATAAGATATACTTTTAGGTTTAAGATATATATAATAATCGTTAAGGGATTAAGCTATATCTCCTCGGCAGTTTAATAGCGACTTAAGCGTTTATTCGAATCCTTTAAGGCGCTATAGGCGGGGTAAGCGCGAGAGGTAGGGTAAGTACGTTAGATAAGCCGCTTAAGTACTTTATTAAGTATAACGATAAGAATTACGTCGAGGCTATTATATAGACCTATCTATAGTATAAAGAGATATAAAGGAAGTTCCTTAAGGTCCTTAGTCTTAATAATATATATAGTATAAATCGGTTTAAGCTATACCTCTTTAAAGTTATTAGTATTATAGACTAGCGTAATATCGTAAACTTCGCCTTTAGCCTTATTAATATAGAGAAAGAATAGGGTTATTAATAGCTCTATTAATAGCTCGATAGTATTTATATTATAATTAGGGTATTATAACCTTAAGTAATTCTTATAGATAAAGAGGCCGCCCTTAAGAATATACTTTAAGACTATTTTCTTAAGGTATAATAATAGCTCTATATTTTCTATATTAATATTAATATTAAGTTAAGGATCTAGTAGCGCTTTAAGAGATAAAACGGAGATAGAGGCGGAGGTAGAAGTAGAGGCGGAGATAATAGCGACTCTAACTATAATAGCGACTCTAATAGCGACTTCGATAGCGACTTTAATAGCGACTCTAATAGCGACTTTAATAGCGACTTTAATAGCGACTCTAATAGCGACGACGCTAGCATCTCTTTACTTAAGCTTTTAAGGGAGGTAGAAGAGGGCTTTACGCTATTGCCTATAAGCGAGCTCGTCTAGAGTCTAGACGGTATATACAATACGTAAAAACGGGTTATCTTTATATATATTAAGGATAACTTTATAATAACGTAATAAATAATAAAGGACGTATATTTACTACTTTAATATAGTATCCTTTAGTATATTCTAGATAAATATATAGTCTATCGGGAATAATAAGTAAAGTACTATATCGATAGGTATTATAACTTTAGTTAATATATTAATAGCTTAGCTAAGAGCTCTTATAAGACTCTTAAGTTATATTTACGTTTTAATATATTAAATCTCTTTTATATTTATAAAGTAGTTAATACTATAATCGAAGACTAAAAGCTTAAGTATATTTAATAAGCGGTAAAGATAGCTATTAAGCTTTAAGAGTATTATACTAAACGTAATTAGCTTAATAATATTAACCTAACTATATCTTATAAAGCTATATAGCTTATTTATATATAATACTATTAGCTACCTTAAAACTAAGCTAGTAAATAAATTAATATATTACTTAAATATATTAATGCCTTTAAGTAATAATATAGCCTATTATATATATATATTATTAAAGAAAGGCTCGAAGTAAGTATAATACTCTTTAAGGCTAATATATATCCTTATTAATAGCTCGAGAAGCCCTTAGATATAGATAAGCTAATCCGTTATATTTAAGATCCCTTAATTATATAGTTATATCGAGGTAGGCTAAGGTAAGCATAGAATAATAATACGCTACTATTATTAATGCTTTAACTCCTAGCTAAGCGTTAATAAGGATTAGGGCAATAGTTTAGTTAACGCTATTAGTTATTATACTTATAGTAGCCTAGTTAACGCTAATAGCTTAGTTAACGCTAATAGCCCAGTTAACGCTAATAGCCTAGTTAATATTAATAGCTATTACGCTTAAGTAGTTAAGGGCATTAAGAATAGCCCAGTTAGCTCTTAGTATCGCTATACTTATAGTAAAGTAGTTAAGAGCTTTAAGAACTGCTTACTTTACGTAAGTAGCTATTTTATATAGTAGCTCGTCTAAACCTTAGTCTTTACTATAAGCTTTTATAGTCTAAAGATATAGAAGATAAGCTATAAGGCTTATAGTAAGACTCGTAATAATAAAAGAGCTTATAACTAAAGAAAAGAATATAGATAGGATAGCCTTAATAGATAAGGTATCGCTATATAAGCTTAAATAAGCCTCGATCTAACCTCTAATTAGATCTATTAACGATAGAAAAGATTTAAGTTAAAATACTATAACCGCTATACTTTAGATATAATAAGTAAGTAATTATAGAATAAAGTAATATTTATTAATTATAAATTCGACTTAATTATTATTACTAAAGTATCGCGCTATAATAGCTTATTTTTAGTAATAATACCTTACTTACCTTATATAATATAGGGGTAACCTTATATTAGTCCGTAATATATACCTTATATACTATATTACTCTTAATAATAGCTTTTATTTACTTATTACTAACGCTATAACTAAGTATTATAGGAATAAATAATCTATAAAATAATCTATTAAGATCGATATAATATTAACCTTATATTTTATTAAAGTTATATCCTCTTTACCTTTTCCCTTTTATATCTCCTCCTTTCTACCTTAATTACTCCTATATTATAATATACTATAGAGCAATAAATATAGCTTATCTATATATAAGTATAAAAGCGATCTTATACCTTATCTATTACGACCTCTATTATAACCTCTATTATAACCTCTATTACTCCTATACTTACGCTCGCGCTTAATAGCCGCTTAATAGCCGGCACCTCCTTTAGACCCGCTAATTATGCCTCTTTTACTATTATTACGATCGACGTTATTACTGCCGCCGCCTCTTCTGCCGCCGCCTCCTCCGCTACTACTACTAATAATAGAGAAACCCTTATCCGATATCTTACTACGATAGCTATATTATTCTATATCGGCCGCTAAGATATAGCATTATTAAGCTTACTTACTATTATTACCGCTATTAAAGCTATTATTACTACCCGAGACGCTATTCCTTAACCGCTTAATAGCGTAAATTGCCCTCTTAAAGTAAGTACTAAGCCCTAAGCGTTACTCGATATAAAGGGAGGGACTTAAACTATAGGCAGCTAGCCTATAGCCTAGCATGCCTTAATATATATTATTACCGCTACTACCTTAATATCGTTAGTCCCTTTAGTATTATTAATATAGTTAAGTAGACTAAAAGACTTAGATCGAGGGCATATATTAATGCCGCTAATAAACTAACCGATCGACTCCTTGCTATTATTAGTATAGATAGATAGGCTAGAAGACTATATAAACTAGACTATTTAGATCGAGGGTATATTAATGCTAGCGCCGCTAGTAATATATAAAGGATCTTATTAGCTTATATTACATTTATTTAATCTTTTATATATCTATTTCAGTTTATATATATATTAATAGGTTATTAATTTAACCTAAAATATATCTCTCTATTAAAGTTAAACTAGCTTACTTATGCTAGTTATATTAATAGTTAAACTAGCTTACTTACGCTAGTTATATTAGCTTACTTATACTAGTTATATTAGTAGTTAAACTAGCCTACTTACGCTAGTTATATTAGCCTGCTTACGCTAGTTATATTAGCTTACTTACGCCGGTTATATTAATAGTTAAACTAGCTTACTTACGCTAATTATATTAGCCTATTTATACTAGTTATATTTATAGTTAAACTAGCCTGCTTACGCTAGTTATATTAGCCTACTTACGCTAGTTATATTTATAGTTAAACTAGCCTACTTACGCCAGTTATATTAGCTTACTTAAGCTAGTATATATATAGTTAAACTAGCTTGCTTACGCTAGTTATATTAGCCTACTTATACTAGTTATATTTATAGTTAAACTAGCCTACTTACGCTAGTTATATTAGCTTACTTAAGCTAGCATATATATAGTTAAACTAGCCTATATATATATATGCCTTATATAATTAAATAGTTAAATATAATATTGCCGTTTAAAGTAGTTTTAATAGTCTTTAAAAGGAGTCGTTTAATATAGTAATTAAGACCTAAGTTAACCTCTATACCTTATAATAATATTAATTAGTCTTTAATATATTCCTAGAGAAGTATAGAATAGCTATAGTATTAATCTTTATAACTCTAAGGTATATATAGGCTTAACGTAATCCACCACCGAGTGCGCCACACCACCGAGTGAGCCACTTTCTACTGCAACACGTATATAATCTTCAACCAAACCACCATAAAATGAAGTACCTACAATAATTACATTTAGTTTGATACATTAGACCCTTCCGTAGCATTCTGGCACGTTCGTACGTTATGGCCAGTCCCGCCGCATTTACTGC